TTCATCAGAGGCTAAAGACAGTAGTCTTGATTAAGCCATCCTCCATTTCCATACTGTGATCCTCCTTTTGATGTTCTTATCCACACACTCTCTCTAATATAACAGGATTCACAAGATGGGCTTAGCAGTGTGTGATTCTAAGAATCATTATTTTTGATAATGATAACCTGTAGCCCAGATTTATTTAAGCTGGCCGTACACCAGTAGATTTTTGTTCGAAAATCTTCCTTTTTCGGAACATTCATTCAAGTTTCTACTGGTTAGCGGAGTCAAATCAACGATCATTTATACCGCAATGACAAGAGAGAAGCAGAATGAGCTTCTTATTTGTTGAGCTTCTTCAGCTCATAAGAAGCTCAACAAAGTTCTAACCTTTTTTTGTAAAAATTATAATAAGGTAATGCGCATGCACTAGGTACAAAATAAACTTGTTTAATTCATTTGGAATTGCATTCAAGTAGCAGGTCTGGATGAACTTTTAAGAGCTTTCAAATAAAATTAGTTGGCACAACAATAGCAAGAAAGAATGATAGAATTAACAATTTTTCAGAATTTCAAACATAACATTTGAACACAATTTTACTAGTGTATGGCCAGCTTTAGAGTTACATAATAGTATGCTACTTAGAAAAAAGGCGGAAATAAGAGACATGCTAAATGATTTTGCTTGAACCTGTGCCTCAAGGTAACTTAAAATAAGGTTGTTTTCTGTGTTGTCTGCCTCATATGAGGACCTAAAGTGGGCACTGTCCATTTTTATGGAACGTGCAACCCTCACCCACTATCAGGATATGAAAATCATAGCAGTAGATTTGGAAGATGCTTAATCCTAACATGTAAAGGACCTTTGTAGCATAAGATGTGTTTCTAAACTGCAGTAGTGTCCCCTGTAGTTTTCTTGTGCTTGATGGGATAACTGGTATTCAGAGATGCCTCAAATCTACTGCCTTAGAATAAAGACAAATATTGGCATGGAGTCCCACAAAGGAGGTATCTATTCTCATGCAGACTGCGTAAATAATACAAACAAAGTGAATCGCCTGAAGGACATAAGATGAAAACAAAAAGCATGCAGAGACTTTTTAATGGTGTGCAGTGACCAGAGTTTTCATCACAAAAGCTAACAAGCTTTTTAATGTGACAGCTCCACATCTGTCTAGTTTACAAGTCATTTGAAGTATTAGAATATTGCGTAGGAATGTCTCTTATTTACACTTTGTAACCCAGACATTTTTTAAATGTAGACATCATAAATACATGCTTATATGCTAGGAATATATTAGGGAGGACAATCGGGCTTCTAATAAGCACATCGTACAGGAGAGCTTTAGCTGGTGCATTGTTGTAGGTGTTTTAAAGAGATCCGGTAACCAATTTAGAAAATTGCTGGTAAGAAAACAAAAAATTCAAGCATTTAAAATGCTACTTGTAGTGAATTTTCTTTTCAAAAATAATTTTTTGATCTCTTGCAATGGCTGCACCAGAGAGATTCAATTCCCTAACACAGCCCACTGCATCCTTGTATGTCATAGCCTTCTACTCCTCTTAGGATATCTAATTATTCCTTGTACTGGTCCAGTTCCTCCACCACTCCTCTTACCTCCCTACATAACAAACTAGTTTGTACCTCTGGATTGGGACTTTAAAGGCAACCATACGAATAAATCCAAGATGAAAAAAATAACTATTTTGTATTTAAAAGAAGATATTTTTAAAAAAATTATATCACTGTACAATACAAAACATGACATGCATTATACACAAATATACATGAAAGGGATGTACACTTATGCATATCCATCATTCTCCTCCTACATAGTGGTATTACCCAATTGCTGATTTGCAAAAACTGCCCAATCACATGCAGCTGGTTTTTGATCCTTGAGAATGGGATCTATCCCTGGGCCTCGGAGGCTAACATGACATATGGAGGAAACATTGACAATTTGACTATTGGACTGGTGATTCCTAGATGTTGGAGGCAACATATCCGGCGACAGTTTGTGCGTGGCGTTTGTCTTTGAATTGTCTTGTATCATATAGTGGTATCATATACCTGGAGAGGAGTCTATTTTGAAAAATCTCAAAACGTATTGTATACCCTACAGCTGAATAAACCTTTAGTCAGGACTATGTGATTTTGGGGATTTTGTAAATCGTTAATTGGGAAATACCACTATGTACAATGAGCATGATGGATATGCATATGTATACACCACTTTCATGTATATTGTTGTATAATACATGTCATGTTTTGTATTGTACTTTTGACATCATTTTTTAAAATATCTTCTAAATAACAAAAACTTAAATAGTTATTTTTTAATCTTGGATTTATTCATATGGTTGCCTTTGAAGTCCCATTCCACAGGTACACAGTAGTTTGTTATACAAAAGAAGGAATGATGGCAACTACACCCTGAGCCACAAAGACATCCTTTTTTCTGTTCTTGCCTCACTACATAACCTTTTATGTAGCTGTCAGGGTGGGGCTGCTGACTTCAGATTCAAGATGGTGGCACCCAATGGCAATCTCAGGGCTTTTGAATGTCTACACAAAGGTTTTTTTTTCCATATAAAGAACATGCATAGAATACGTTAAATGCACATATAATCTTGGGTGGAACATTTTTGTTGACATGAATGGTCTAGCAATAGAATCTCTTTAAAGGGTGAAGATCATTTATTACAATTGAAAAAAAGGACGAATATGGCTTCTCAGCCTTTTGGCTAAGATCAAGTGTATAAAGAAAGGAAGAATAGGATGGATGCACAAAAAAATCTGTTTTTCCTGCCATTATTAAAAAACATATCTTATGACGGCTAATTGTCTGTAATGATAATATAGTTGTATATGCTCTTTTGTCACCATTGTACAACAAGGACAAAATTTTCATGATAAAATGTCCTTATAACAGGGCTTTTAGGAAGTTAAAATAAAATCATTAAATCAACAGGACAGCCCAAGCTTGTAACATGTGAAGGCCCAGGCGTTCGTTCATGTGATCTGTCCTGACTGTATTCAGGCAATCTGAACTCTTATTCTCCCTGTGACGGGCGCAGCTTCAGACCCCAGCCCTTCTCACCAAACTCGTGACCGAAGGACTAGCCAATCTAAAACCGCGCTGTCACGTGCGTAACAATGCCACGCCCAGCTACACCCTGCACAACAATTTTCAGCTAATTGGACCACAATCTATGTACCGGCAGCCTGGCAGCGATTGTTACTGGGTCAGGTTAATTACGCAATTAACCCTTCACACTGCCACCACCTTCTTTTTATACAGAGAAAGAGGAAACTCAGCAATACACTAGGATGATTGGTTAACCGTCAGTATCCCGCTATCTCTACAGACTGGTTATACAGAGGGTTAAATACTCATAGTAGTGTTCTTCAGCGGCAGGGACTCGTAAGTTACATTCAGGAGCTACAGAAACAGTTCAACACATTTAGAAAGTAAGATTTATTACTAAAAGGTCAAAAGGGTGCAGTAGAAATATTTACAGAAACAAGATGTAACATATATATATATATATATATATATATATATATATATATATATAGAGCACAACAGCACAGCAAACAGATAACAGAAAGAAGTTTAGGTAAATAAGTACTTGCCAAATAAATGCCTGGGATTAAGCAGTTTCAAGTCTGATGAGCTAAAAGGGATTTCTGGTCTTGCACTTAGTTGTGATGGCACAACAAGACTCTTGGTCAGCTAGATGGTACAGAGCCGATGGTCCTCACTTCTCTGACTAAACACAAAAAAAAACAGCTTCTTTTTCCTACTCAAAACCTCTTCCTACAGTGGCCAAGCCAAGCCTTATTTAGCCAAGATTTGTTAGGCAGGGACTCAGCATCATACGTTGGTTGCATTCCTGAGGGAGGGGGAATGAGGGGATGACTTTAAGACTTCTTGACACAGTGAGAGCTATGCCTGAACACCAGATCTGCTACACCTCCCCCTCTCAGGTGACTGCATATTAGTTTAAGAAAAATACCAAAATGCAAAAGTTTGGAGCAAAATGGAGAACCGCACCTCTCCCTGTGGGCATGATTGTGACACTCCCCTTCTGGAAAGATCACATGATCAAGTGCCTAGGCCTTCAGAAGTGTGTCCAGGACTGAATGTAACTTGAAAGTTTTGCAACCAATTATATTTTATTGGTCTAGTCCGAAAGATGTTTAACATACTTTTATGTTATCATTTGAATATTAGTCCACTTTAAGTCATAGAATGATTCATTTGTTCTAGAATTCATACATAGTAATTTTAATGTGTCTCACTATTATTATACCATTCTGATTTTTAATGCTAGCAATTCCATATACTCTTGCTATATTGCAACATGTATTTTGTAATGCAAGTGTTTGCAAATTATGTTGGTATTTACAGATGATGCTAAAAATATTTTTTTTACCTGCATATGTATATTATACACATGATAGACATTAATTTTTATTCCTGATTTCATTCCAGTTCATTAATTTTAGTGTATCTACAAAATTATCACTACAAAACTATCACTCAGTAACAAAAAAAGTAATAAGGATAATAAACAGAAAAGGCTGTCGTATGCGAATCATTGCTTAACACATACTACACAAGCCATTAGTGTAATGCTTTTTCTTCTGTATGTTGGGGCTGCCAAGTTGATAGCAGGCTCCCTGCCAGCAGCAGGGATACACCCATCTTTTCTGTTGTTTGTTGTATATTCCCAATGCATGTCCCCTGACCAGTTTCCGTGGCAACTATAAGAAAATGGCTTAGGCATTAACACTTTCATACTCTTGATATTGGAATAGCCCAAGTACTCTCCTGCTTGTCTTAGTGTGGTGATTAGTAAATAATATCATTCTGTGTTACTGTCTTTCTCTGCAGTATTTTTGGCTGCTCGTACTCTCCCGAGGTTTGGTGGGCATCGGGGAAGCCAGTTACTCAACAATCGCCCCGACTATCATTGGAGACCTCTTTACCAAGAATACCCGTACACTTATGCTGTCAGTCTTCTATTTTGCCATCCCTCTTGGAAGGTAAGCATTTTTACATGTAATGTACTGTTAGAAATAGGAAGTGGTTGGTGCAGAGTATCCTTAGTAAGCACAACCACTTGGACTATTTATAGCCATGTCACACAGGCTGCATTCACTTTCCATGCAGAGCCATGCACTGCACATGTATTGAGGACCTGACACTACAGCTTTTCTTCTTTAATCATGCATCAGCACCAGTTGCATGCTGACACTACAAGAATCTACTTATTTGGATTTTGCAAAAAACATGAATTTATAAATTATGTAATACCTCACTATATCTTTTAAGTATATAGTTGATATATTTAACATTGCCAGTCAGATCTGACAAAATGTTGTCACAAACTAAATTGTTGTCACAAACTAAACTCAGCAAGAAATGGAAAATACACACTGAGATGCAACTGTCTAAGAACTCCAGCTTATAATGCAGTAGTGCTGCTCCATGCTCACTACATGATCCTTGCTGTCTCTCACATGCAACCTGATGTAACTATGGTGTCCTTTTATCATGCAGTAGTAAATGGCCGCTGCTCAGTTCACTGGCATTCTCAAAGGAGAGAGTTCTCCTCTGAATGCCTTTTTATGAAGCGGTGTAGATCACTTCTCCGAATGAAGAGAGAAGCGTTCTACAAGCGCTTTGCACGCTAGAAAACGGCTGCTGTTACTATAATCTCGCGAGATTACAGTAAGAGATCAGTCAAACACTGTTTACTAAGCAGCGGTAAATTACCTCTGCTTCGTTTGCGGTTCCCCCGATTCTCCACCTCTGGGCTGGACAATCTGGAGGGAGAACACAGATCTCCAGTGAAGGGCTGACATCGCTCCTTCATACACTGGCCATCTGTGTGCTGAAATGATCAGCGGAGAACATGTTCTCTACTGATCATCTCTGTTACCTAAACCACTAATGATCTGAGATCAGCAACAATCATTAGGATCGCCGCTGATCTCTGTTTCATAAAAGGACAACAAAGTGTCTGTACTAAACACTTGTTCCTACCCGCCAGTTAAAAAAAAAAACTTGTCTCAGATGTTTGAATATCATTTTAGAAATCTACAAAACCCTGTTGCTCTAATTGGAGACTTTATAATTTTTTTCAGATATATACAAAAGTACAAAATTATGTAAAAAAAAAATCAGCAAATAAAAACAGTTTTTATTCAGTCCAAAGTTTAAATACAGTCCTTAAAGTTAAAAAATAAAAACAGAAGTTTGAGGTTATTTTATATAAACATATCAAGCAGAAACCCCATCTGTAAACATATTTTTAAACATATTATATATATATATATATATATATTTTTATATATAAATTTTCTTAAAACGTTGCAATCGTATTCCCAAAGTCTAGATGAACTAGATGAAGCAAAGTGTGTAAAAGTTCTCTATCTCAATGTTTTAGGTGCTATACTTGCATTGACATAGTTGTATGAGTGCTAAGTCAGAATTAAAATTAAACATCCAATATACACAATAACTGTATAATATAGATAAATTACAATTACTCACGTTATTATTCAGTCAGTGCAGCACAGTGGCTAAGTGATTAGCACTTCCACCTGCCACCCTAGGGTCATTGGTTCTAATCTCAACCATGACACTACCTGCTTAGAACTTGCATGTTCTCCCTGTGCCTGTGTGGATTTCCTTCAGGTATTTCGTTTTTTTCCCACACTCCAAAGACATGCTGGTAGGTTAATCGGCTTCAGTCTAAATTGGCCCTAGTATGTGTTTGTATGATTGGGAGCTAGGGACCTTAGATTGTACGCTCCTTGAGGGCAGGGACTGATGTGAATGTACAACATATATGTAAACCACTGCATAAAATTGTCATCTCTCTCTCTCTCTCTCTCTCTCTCTCTCTCTCTCTCTCTCTCTCTCTCTCTCTCTCTCTCTCTCTATCTATATATATATATATATATATATATATATATATATATATATATAGTACCTGAAATAAATAAATCAGTTACTTGATTGTGCAGTGCAGCTGTGTGACCCTGATTATAGATGTCTCTGTTTACATATGATTGGTAATACCTAAAGCAAAGATAATATCATTAATCACAATTAATATAAATATAATTAATAATATTTCTTAGCTCAGGTTTAAGGAAGCATGTTCCCAGTGGTCCTTTTGGGGTTTTTTCTGTATTCTCGTTGCAGTTGATTACTCAGATTAAGATAAACTGTGAGAACTGTAGTGTTTTCTAGATAGCATTAGTAGATTATTGTTTAGTTTCCCTTATGGCCTGGAACTGATCTTTTAATACATATTCAGTTCTCCATGAAAGGCAACAATTTTGGTGCATCCTGCAAGTTCCCAAACTAAATTATAAATGAATTATTTTCATTAGTGGCAGAGTTGGCAAAAATATAAGGCAAGAGCTTGTTTTGCTGGCCCAACTATTCAAGTAATACCAGAAAGCATAGTGTAGTGCCAGTCAACATTGGCGGCCCCTAAAGTAGTTGACCTCTGCGTTGGAAGTCAGTAGACTGCATGGCGTATAACATACAAGTGGGTTCCTGTAAGCAATTTCCTAAAGTGAAGTGGTACAGTGAACTCATTTCCTGACAAATAAACCAGAGCAGCCACTAATCTACTGTCATGTACTATAAGCATCGCAATAAGGAAAAGCAGCAGGAGCCCAGCAATCAAAGTCTCTGGTGTGTATGTGTGCTTCAAAACTACCCTACTTATCAGTTAAGATATGTTTTCATCTGCTTTACTAAAATGTAGACACTGCCTTCTGCCGTGGGAATTACAGTGTTGCTCTAACATAACAGATATCTCTACTACCTAATCCAACAAACTCAGATGAAATTTTGATGAATGTGTATGTCTGGAAAAAAAAAAACAGTACATGTACAAATCAGTACATCTCGGGAATACATGCACATTTCCCCATATTGTATCACTTGAAAAACTCTGCAAATACCAAAAAACACATGTTGATCTGCCAAAAATCCAGTGTGCTTCTTACTTTCTGTTTAAGCTGACAACACGTTGACTCTGCTGCACTAAATCCCAAGCAGTAAACTTCCATTATGTTATGGAAAAGAGGAAAATAGAAGGGTTTCTGTAGTTATAAATGCATAAAACTGTGCATGCATTACAGCGATGTAATTAAAAAATATGTAAAACCAACATTTCATATTCCGGATATATGCCTGTATAAAAACTGGCCACACTAAGCAGAACACAGTGTGGTCAGTTCTGTAGCTATGCTGGGAACTCAGCCTGCTCTCCTCCAATAGTCAGACTTATCCTGATCCCTCCCAACACAGCCATTCACTGGGAACATCGGTGTACTGCTGTTTCTTCTTCCCACCTCTTATGCAGCTGAGAACAGAGAGGGTATGTGATCACTTATAAAAAAGGGAAAAGGAAGGTGTATATAATGATATATTTTCTTTTAATATCTATACATAGATGTTTTGACTTTCATTTCTATTTTAAACTGAATGGGTTGTTTTACAAGGTGATGGTTTGCAATCCCTTTTATTATGTGTTTTTTTTTTTTTTTTTTTTTGCCCAGATATACAAGTTAAAGAATAGAATCCTTTAAACATAACCTTTAGTGTACTGATAAACATGTCAAACATCCCCAGTTTTAAAAGAAGCTAATACTCATAAGACAGTTGCCTATATGTAGGCAGAATTATTAACAATTCTATTATCTTTTGTTGCCTTTAGTGGCTTAGGCTATATCACTGGTTCAAGTGTCAAGCAAGTTGCGGGGGACTGGCGCTGGGCTCTGAGGGTAAGATATTAATTTTGATATTTACAATGTACAATACTTTTATAGTTCTGAAAACAAAATGCTACATGATAGAGAATTCGTACACACCTGTTTAACAGCAGCTAGAAACTGTCAGGAGCCCAACCTAAACACCAAAAGTTTACTGAAGCATAGCACATATTCTTTCACAATTTGACTGCCTGTTTTACTGCTTTTCTCTTTGTATGTGTTTTGGTTTATTCAATAACACATTGCAATAAGCAGTAATATAGTTTAACATGGCAGAGACTAACTGGATTTTGTGTTACTTCAGTTAAATAATTTAACTTCTGGTTGATATTGGTTTGCATTTCATCATGGAGCTTTATATGCATATCTTAGCATGAACAATATTACAATGGCTGGTGCAAAGGCTAAATAGACTATCAGATCATTCTATGCATGTGAAATTAGCATGACCAATGCAAATTGAATAGTGAGCCTAATTGAGTGGAAAAATTGCACTGGAGGCTACGTCTACTAAATTTCAGAAATAAATGCTAGTGCTTTGGTAATTAACATTATAGTAATAACTTCAAATTACAACAGCTTATCATAAAGAAAAGACCCATCAAAAATTTCTTTTAATATTCAACTGCAAACTAGTATTAGGAAGTAAAGTCTTTATCCGGAGGGGCCTCTTTCAGTTTTAATCCTTAAGCCAGCTAAAGAGCCAAAAAGGAGTGAGAGGGCCCATAAACACCAGTTTGTAACATGCCTTCCATAAAGGGAACCTGGGTCATTTATGTGCTCCTTTGCTTAGCACAGGCTTGTTCTGGAGTAATAAGTGCTGAAGCTACCAACTGGGAACATGCAGTAAAAGTGAAGCCACCTGTTCACTAAAACATGTGAATACATTTACATTTTACTAAAAAACACAGAAACAAGACCTATTAGCATTATCAAGTGAAAAGAGTGCAGCAAGTCCCAACCATTCTTCTCCAAGCCTTCCATCACTTCTCCACCAACCGATGGGTGCTGGCTCTGAGCAGTCCATAACCCAAACAATTAGAGCATCAAACACAAAGGTAGAATTGCTCACTTTCTAAAAGCCCACAATGAATTTTATTGTTGTTGGTGCATGGGTAATCCACCTGCTTCTCTTACTTAAAAGGTAAATGGCTCTACCTTTGTTTTTTGTGCTATAAGTGAAAGGGTTGGTATTACAAGGTGCATAATATTTATATTATTATTAGAATATGTGATTAGTTGATGCATTAATGCAGTTCCCTATTTAACACAAGAATTATTTACATATTGTTCTGAAAAACTGAATTTAGAGACCTGAACTGTCATTATTAGTGTGGGTACCCGATTCCAGTTTACCAGCTGTAAAACGTATACTTGTCTTGTTTAGAAAAACATCCAGAGCTCTTAATGAAATTCCAACCATTTGATCTTAATTGGCCATTGCCACCAAATCTTTTCTGTTTTCCACTGTCTAGGATTATAACAATGACCATTTCCTGATTTAAGGAAAAACATGCTTTGTTTCCATCGCTGTGGTATCTAGGTTTCACACATTATCCTTTCCATAGCAAAATGTGCTTCAACAGTGTTGCTATAAATATGATTTTAAAGCTTAACAAGCAGGAAGTGTTGCTTCTTACCTTTTGACCCTCTTTGAACTCCTCTCTTAAAACATGAAACTGACCAGGGAAGCTAATTCCCAGCATGAGCAATTATACTTGTGCAGGAAAGTCATAGGCGCATGGAACCTGCAGACCAAAAGTCCATGGAAAGTTTTAATGAATCCAGTTGTAGGAATCCAATTATGAAGAAGGGGATGGAACAGTCTAAATGCCAAGGCAGGCTGCGGTAGAGTGAAGCAGACTCTAATATAGAAGAAACAAAGGATGAAACACAGCACCTCTAAGTGTAGACTGTGATGCAAGTTTAATAATTAAAAAGTAGGTAGGCAACTCACATATAAGTGATAAATTACAGGCTCATCAATGATGTGGATGATCAGTCCGCCTCATGGCCAAGGTGGTATGCTGCTGTGGAATAGTGGGACGGTGGGGGCAGTCAGGGTGGGTGAGACAATGGAGATCCCACTGTCTCACCACCCCACAGCGGCATACCACGTTGGCGATGAGGCGGACTGATCATTCACATCATTGATGAGCCTGTAATTTATCACTTATATGTGAGTTGCCTACCTACTTTTTAATTATTAAACTTGCATCACAGTCTACACTTAGAGGTGCTATGTTTCTTCCTTTGTTACAATTACACTTGTGGCCTAACAGGTCTAAATGATAATGGAGTCTTTTGTTTTTATTTTGTTTTTCTCTTCTTTTTGGAACCCCCGTATTTTTCTTAGAGTTATCTTCGTACCATACCTAAAGATATAGTCAAGTGGAATGCTAAACAATAAAGTTGAGTCCCACGCTTGGTTTTAAAGAACTTGCTGGGAAGGTCTTTTCCCAAAATTGCTCCAATCAACACAGCCAGGGTAATGTCCTCGGGCCTCTCTTGAGTGGATACTACATAAATTCTTGTTGGAGAGACTATAAGGGGGGTGGTGACAACATAATATTGGTGCTATTGGCCCACAGATAGTTTCCATACAATTATATGGAGAGTGCTGAGATAGCACTCCTAGCTGTCACAGCCTGTTTGGAGTAGTGGGAATGAGGGTCTGGGGTGGGGATGCAGGAAGACCAGGAAACTAGTGTCTACATCCTTCTGGCAACAAACCTGAAGATGGGTACATGCAGGAATGTGCATAGGACAATGTGGCATCATCACTGAGGCTCATTAGAAATAATCAGATGCTAAATACCCAATGCTGGCTGAACACATACTTAACACTCCGATCACAACCTTCCAAAAATACTCATCACAATCACTCATTTAGCAAACCGCAATATCCTTCATTTACTAGGATATAGCTGCAGATGTCCTTTTCTATGGCTACAAATTACTCTATCTGATGCAGACTTATTATTCGTGTATAATTAAACTGCAGTGACTGCTTCTAATAGTTAAATGAAAAATATTTTTGGAATATTTATCAATATTGTTCTAATTTTAATCATGAAACATATTTACTTTAGCATTAAATATAAGATTGCATTGTCTTGCAAATTTTTAGTCTCATCAAAGATTTAACAGGATGACATCTCTTCCAGGTCTCACCCGTGCTGGGCATGATAACTGGGTCTTTAATCCTGATATTTGTACCAGCTGCCAAAAGAGGCCATGTAGAACAGCTCAAGGCACGGAGTTCATGGTTTCGAGACATGAAGGCTCTGATTAAGAAGTAAGCTCTATATATATACATAACTGCTTATGCCACTTTGTAGGTGGCACATGCTGATTCCAGTTCCACCAGTGCAGTGGAGTACAAAATACATAATTAGAATTGAATTCATGTGTATATATAATACTAATAGGCATATATCAAGTATTCTGTCCCTGTTGTTCGTGCAGTCTTGAATCAGTGTACAGAGGGGGCACTGACTGCAGCAAACACTTTTGGCGACATTTATCAATTCTGTTGCAAGGAAGGACAGTGAGACATATTACGAGACAGATTTATTATAGCTAGGCAGCTTTATTAATTAATTCCCCTCTGCTACACTAAAGTAGCACTGTGCCAATATAAAACCACCCTTGACCACATCTTAATTGTGAATCAGTTTTCATTAAAAACCAGTGATGAAAATCTGTCTCATCTCCAGTTGTAAACCTGTTAGGACCCATGCAAATCTGACTCAGTTGACTGCCAAGGATTACAGGCAAATATATTGTTTCATATACAAAAAAATTGTTGCTTTGTTAACTGACAGGCAGCCTGATTTGCAACTAAATTTATCACTAATATGCTTGATAAATGTACATCTTTTTCAGTAAAATGATTCTATATATTGTTGGAACCTCTGCTCCCATGAAAACAGCTGCCCTCATTCCTTCTCATGCTGTCACAAGGAGAGGAACCTTTTTCGAAGCCCAAATCCAAGAAGATAGGACCCCCACCAGGCTTTACTGTGGTCTGTGACCCCATTGGAGAGATTTCCCCTCACTTCCTGTTGGTGTGGAAAGAACTACCGTATTTGCCGGCGTATAAGACGACTGGGCGTATAAGACGACCCCCTACGTTTCCTGTTAAAATATAGAGTTTGAGCTATACTCACCGTATAAGACTACCCCTCTTCCAACACGCCCCATCATTGGTGTCAGTGGGGAGGAGGAATAGTGGCCCATCATTGGTGTCAGTGGGGAGGAGGAATAGTGCCCCATCATTGGTGTCAGTGGGGAGGAGGAATAGTGCCCCATCGTTGGTGTCAGTGGGGAGGAGGAATAGTGCCCCATCGTTGGTGTCAGTGGGGGAGGAATAGTGCCCCATCATTGGTGTCAGTGGGGAGAAAAGTGCCCCATCATTGGTGTCAGTGGGGGAGGAATAGTGCCCCATCGTTGGTGTCAGTGGGGAGGAGGAATAGTGCCCCATCATTGGTGTCAGTGGGGGAGGAATAGTGCCCCATCATTGGTATCAGTGGGGAGAAAAGTGCCCCATCATTGGTGTCAGTGGGGAGGAGGAATAGTGCCCCATCGTTGGTGTCAGTGGGAGGAATAGTGCCCCATCGTTGGTGTCAGTGGGGGAGGAATAGTGCCCCATCGTTGGTGTCAGTGGGGGAGGAACAGTACCTCATCGTTGGTGTCAGTGTGGAGGAGGAATAGTGCCCATCGTTAGTGTCAGTGAGGGAGAGGAGCGGCTGCTCCTTCTTTCAGTTCGGCCGCTTGATTTTCGCGGGGCGGTTCGGCTCCGCCTCCTCGCCGGTGATTGGTCGCCTGTGTGCCTTTCCAGTGCTGGCGCCCAATCACCGGTGAGGAGACGGAGCCGAGCGGGCGGCGGGACCATCGAGCGGCCGAACTGAAAGAAGGAGCAGCCGCGCTTCCTGGACCGGATCGTCGTGGGACCGGGACCGAGCCAGGTAAGGTACAGCAGCCCCTCTGCCCACCCCCTGTACTTGGTGTCCGTTGGAGGAGGAGGGGGGGCGGCGCCGCCCCTCGAAAAAGTGCCGCCCTGACACCGGCTCGCCGTATACCGGCGTATAAGACGACCCCCGACTTTTCAAAAGATTTTCACGGGTTGAAAAGTCGTCTTATACGCCGACAAATACGGTATCTCTAACTGGCAGGTAGTGATAGGGAATCTCTCAAATCTGGACACAGACTGCAACAAAAACATATTTTTCAGTAAAAATAGAGAAGAGTGAGAACCTCTGTCAGCTTATTATTACTGTCTGTGTCTCCCTGTTCTGGTGACAACCACTCCTCTCATTTCTTGCCCTGCCATCACAGGATGCCACAGAGACATAAAGTGGGATAAAATCTGTGCATCAGGGTTGCTGACAGCACGAAAAAGTTATATACAGAAGCATTTACTATTCCAAGTTTATCCAAAATGGAAATAAAAAAATTGTAAGCTCAAGTTTGGTTTTAAATGCTGTTGATGAAGATTGAACACTGAATACTTACAGAGAACTATGTGCAGGTTCAGTTTAAGCTCTGTCAGATCTTCTAGACTATTAAAATCATGGTTTTATAATAGCTGACCGAACATAATGGAAGGAGCATATTTTTGCTTATTCTGGTAATATACAGTAATGTATTTGTAAAGTATCTAAAGCAGATAATTTCAGCTATTCTACTGTATCTTCTAAGTCTTGAGTTCCTGGGTCTGCACTCTTGCTGCGGCCAATAATATGAGGACCCTACTCACTTTGAGACTTGATTAGTGTATGTATATATACAGTGAAGGAAATAAGTATTTGATCCCCTGCTGATTATGAATGTTTGCCCACTCACAAAGAAATGATCAGTCTAAAAATTAAATGGTAGGTGTATTATAACACCGAGAGACACAATATCAACAAAAAAATTGAAAAGAAATGCATGTCTAACAAATTATGCACTGATTTGCTTGTTCATGAGGGAAATAAGTATTTGATCCCCTATCAGCAGGATTTCTGGCTATCAGGTGTCTTTCATACAGGTAACAAGCTGAGATTAGAATCAGTCTCTTAAAGGGAGTGCTGCTAATCTCATTTTGTTACCTGTATAAAAGACATCTGTCCACAGGGTCAATCAAACAATCAGATTCCAAACTCTCCACCATGGCAAAGATCAAAGAGCTGTCCAAGGATGTCAGGGACAAGATTGTAGACCTACACAAGGCTGGACTGGGCTACCAAACTATCGCCAAGCAGCTTGGTGAGAAGGTGACAACAGTTGGTGCAATCATTCGCAAATGGAAGATACGCAAAACAACTGTCAGTCTCCCTAGGTCTGGTGCTCCATGCAAGATCTCACCTCGTGGAGTGTCAATGATTATGAGAACAGTGATGAATCATCCCAGAACTACAAGTGAGGATCTTGTCAATGATCTCCAGGCAGCTGGGACCAAAGTCACCAAGAAAACAATTGGTAACACACCATTCTGACAAGGATTGAAATCCTGCAGTGCCCGCAAGGTCCCTCTGCTCAAGAAAGCACATGTCCAGGCCCATCTGAAGTTTGCTACTGAACATCTGAATGATGCAGAGGAGGACTGGTTGAAAGTGTTGTGGTCAAATGAGACCAAAATTGAGCTCTTTGGCATCAGCTCAATTTGCCATGTTTGGAGGAGGAGGAATGCTGCCTATGACCCCAAGAACACAATCCCAACTGTCAAACATGGTGGTGGAAACATTCTGCTTTGAGGGTGTTTTTTTCTGCTAAGGGAACAGGACAACTGCACCGCATCAAAGGGACGATGGACGGGGCAATGTATCGTCAAATCTTGGGTGAGAACCTTCATCCCTTAGCCAGGGCATTGAAAATGGGTCATGGATGGGTGTTCCAGCATGATAATGACCCAAAACACAGCCAAGGCAACAAAGGAGTGGCTCAAGAAGAAGCACATTAAGGTCCTGGAGTGGCCTAGCCAGTCTCCAGACCTTAATCTGATTGAAAATCTGTGGTGGGAGCTGAAAGTTCGAGTTGCCAAACATCAGCCACCAAACCTTAATGAGTTGGAGAGGATCTGTCAAGAGGAGTGGGCCAAAATCTCTCCTGAGATGTGTGCAAACCTGGTGGCCATCTGCAGGAAATGTCTGACCTCTGTGATTGCCAACAAGGGATTTGCCACCAAGTACTAAGTCATGTTTTGAGAAGGGGATCAGATACTTATTTTCCTCATGAACATGCAAATCAGTGCATAATTTGTTAGACATGCATTTCTTTTTAATTTTTTGTTGCTATTCTGTCTCTCAGTGTTACAATACACCTACCATTCGATTTTTAGACTGATCATTTCTTTGTGAGTGGGCAAACATTCAAAATCAGCAGGGGATCAAATACTTATTTCCTTCACTGTGTGTGTGTTTGTGTGTGTGTGTGTGTGTGTATATATATATATATATATATATATATATATATATATAATTTTTGTGATTCAGCATGAAGCAGGAGACCCTGGAACAATAATGTGGGTGGGAACATCTAATACTCCAAGGTGGACAGGGATAACATGGAGTTGGGAATTGTGGCAGGGAGATCTCACAGTCAGAAAGACAGGCATACAGTATTAGCTAGGGACTGACTCCACAGCTCCACCTTAAAAATATCAGTGAATAAAATATCAGTTTTAGATGCCTTTAATACTCACCATATATCTGTAAAATAAGTTACTGGACCATATCTAATTGTTTGTTAATTGTGTTATTTACTTATATATTTAATTTTCTCACCAGCCGCAGTTATGTCTTCTCTTCATTGGCAACGTCAACAGTGTCCTTTGCAACGGGTGCTCTGGGCATGTGGATTCCCCTCTATCTGTACAGAGCCCAAGTGGTGCAGAAAACAGTGGAACCCTGCAACTCTGGACCTTGCAGCACCAAAGACAGGTTATTACTAAAGCATATTTGAATTATTTATCAGTGTAGTTACCATATTTTTTATTGCAAGAAAAAAAATAATACACATTTTTATTTTTAAACAGCCTAATTTTTGGAGCAATCACCTGTATCACTGGCTTTCTTGGCGTAATAACGGGGGCTGGAGCTACTAAATGGTGCCGTTTGAAAACACAACGTGCTGACCCACTTGTCTGTGCTGTTGGCATGCTGGGATCAGCTATCTTCATTTGCCTGGTCTTCGTCGCTGCCAAAAGTAGCAGCATAGCTGCATATGTAAGTTCCAGTACTGGGAAAATCTTCTGTCTTCAGTTTTTCTGCTTTTTAAAATGAGTTCTACCCAGTGAGGGTGAAACAGGCCTTCTGTGCTGCTCAACTGGTATCCAGATTGCACATGATCTGCAAGTGTCATTTTCCTGGTAAACAAATCGTGCTAATTGATTAAGTAAAGAACATCACTGGCTAATATATAAATAATTAATATATATGTTTTTTTAAGTAATTAACTAATTTTTCAATTCCAGTTAGTTAATTTATATTGAGTTATTACTAAAAGTCATAATCGGTACTGCTGTGGTAGTGTCTGCTCTGTAGGTCTCTGTATAGGAAAGGAAGGTGCTTAGCTCCTATAGGAGTTACAAAACTCAGCAGACAGGAGGAAGGATACTGGGCATCACCTATAGATCTGTAAATGTTAAAAACGTTTGTCACACCCCCCACACCCATGTGGTGCAGCTCCTGAGTATGTGGATTGGATCACAGAAGAAGGTGCATTAATTTACAAACATTTTGGCAAATGTATATCTTTTTGATAAAAGTTAGGAACTTCACAAACTTTTCTGAAAAATAAAAGCCATTAGGGGTTTCTGTCAAGAAATGTATATTTGCAAGCACAGTCATAATAGTTCAAGAATAAATATTCAGATTCCTGCATATGTCCAAATATGACTTTAATGAGGACAAACTCTAACACTAGAAATTTAGAGGTTATTTAAGTCTATAGGTAGTCACTGCACAAGCAAAGCCAAAACCAGAGGAGATTTCATGTCAAAAAAGATAGACACCAGAGCCAGGGAGAGGTAAGTAAGCATCTAAGTGGGGCTCTCTAAGTTAGATTAGGTTAGGGGTCTTGGGGGAGTGGATTAATGGCTTCTCCTTAAAATTATATATTCAACAGTGGTCCAACAATTCCATTAAACTGAAAACCAAATCTCCTGTTGCTCCCTTTTCAGACCTCATTGATAATCTAGTGTTTGCTATAAATATATTGCATTCACAGTAATGTTAACACCACTGCATACTTGACGATAAGAGGTTTATTTTCATTTGAAAACGTAATGCTACAAAATAAGCATTAAATGTGCAGCTTTTTGTTTTCGTGAAGCTTTTTTCTCCTGGAGCAGTGCAAAGCTATATCACAACAAACATGATTTTATACCCCAATTTATCTTGACCCAAGGGGCAGGAAAATGTTTGCTCATGGGCACATTTTGATTGTTATAATGCAGCCTACTTGACAACTGTCAATTGCAAATTGCACATATGTTAGTGTATCTATACACATTTTTTAAGCTTTGGATAGTTTAGGGAATGACTAAAACCCCCATCAGGGGTGTATCCCATTGAGGAGATTTCTGTTCATTTCTTGCCCAGAAGTAAAATGAAATGTCTCCAAAGTAAGGGAAAATCCCCATTTAAAAAACGTATTCACAACTTAATACGTAAATTTAGAATTGGTATCACTTTCTGTCCTGATGAAAATTCAAGTGGTTGAATCTACCCGACAGGGACACTAACCAGAATGAATCCTACCCCAAACTTCTAACCCTTACATATATCCAAATCTAAAAACGTTAAGACGTTAACTGACTGTGTTGGAACACAAGTTGCTTATGATCCACATACCTTGTTAGCTTGGTGGCTGCTATACTGTCAGAAAAAAACTTCTGTTCACACTTTGCACAAGTCAGATCACCAACAGGCAGTGTGATAAACTGATGTACAGGATGGTGGTGGATAGTGATAACAGCATCAGTTTCAACATCTATCATTTTAATTTACCTTATTATATTTTAGCTATAACTAGCCACCTTTTGGTAAACTTTTGGCAGTTGTCATAGCAGAGGTTAAGGAGAATATTGGGTGCAGGAGCTAGAAAGAGAAGATACAAGACTTTGATAGCTCAAGTATCATAAAGCTCTTACTAGAACAGTACACTTCCAGTTATGCATATAAGGCAAGCAGCTTGCTACATTAAGTTCTATTATTGTGTTTTATTTTCACTTTGATAATCATGTGACATGGTTTTGGGCAAAAAGATGGAACCTCTAAAAACCGGCATCCCTGGTGCCCAAGTACAACACTTACAGTATTTAAATGTTTCTAAGACATAATGTATGCTAAAGAGAATGTAAATTTGTTGGTCATACTGAGAATCTATGGCTGAATCATTTACTGACAGGTAGTATTTACTGTATTTGTCCGGCTTGAACAAAAGGTTGCAAAATTTAACCTACCTAAAGAAATTACATGCAGGATACAACCATATTGTTCTTCAAAGCTATACAGCATAATAGCAGCAATCCAAATAAACAAAGAGGTAGTAAAGGAAAACAATGACTGGAAAGACTGTGTTACTGTTTGTGCAGATTAATATCATGGGTAAGGACTTTCTATTACAAATGTCAGCCATGTACATGTAAGCAAACAATACATCAAAAGAGCCACAAGCACTCCCAATGTGACCATCTACAATACATAGCTATCCCCTTCAAATAGCAAAAGATAGAAATGGTATTCGTTCTGTATGGGTTTTTAGTATTTTCCCTGGTATATATTTTGCATTATAGGTAGCAAGGAACAGTTACAGTGCCTTGAAAAAGTATTCATACCCTTGAAATTTTCCATATTTTGTCATGTTACAACCAAAAATGTAAATGTATTTTATTGGGATTTTATGTGATAGACCAACACAAAGTGGCACATAATTGTGAAGTGGAAGGAAAATGATAAATGATTTTCAAAAATTTTTTACAAATATCTGAAAAGTGTGGCGTGCATTTGTATTCAGCCCCCTTTACTCTGACACCTCTAACTAAAATCAAGTGGAACCAATTGCCTTTCAGAAGTCACCCTATTCGTAAACAGAGTCCACCTGTGTGTAATTTAATCTCAGTATAAATACAGCTGTTCTGTGAAGCCCTCAGAGGTTTGTTAGAGCACATTAGTGAAAAAACAGCATCATGAAGGCCAAGGAACACACCAGACAGGTCAGGGATAAAATTGTGGAGAAATTTCAAGCAGGGTTAAGTTATAAAAAAAAAATTCTCAAGCTTTGAACATCTCACAGAGCACTTTTCAATCCATCATCCAAAAATGGAAAGAGCATGGCACAACTGCAAACCTACCAAGGCATGGCCGTCCACCTAAACTGACAAACCAGGCAAGAAGAGCATTAATCAGAGAAGCAGTCAAAGACCCATAGCAACTCTGGAGGAGCTGCAGAGATCCACAGCTCAGGTGGGAGAATCTGTCCACAGGACAACTGTAAGTCATGCATTCCACCAATCTGGCCTTTATGGAAGAGTGGCAAGAAGAAAGCCACTGTTGAAAGAAAGCCATAAGAAGTCCCATATGTAGTTTGCGAGAAGCCATGTGGGGGACACAGCAAACATGTGGAAGAAGGTGCTCTGGTCAGATAAGACCAAAATTTAACATTTTGGTCTAAAAGCAAAACGCTACTACATGTGGCGGAAAACTAACACTGCACATCACTCTGAACACACCATCCCCACTGTGAAACATGGTGGTGGCAGCATCATGTTTGGGGGATGCTTTTCTTCAGCAGGGAAGGGAAGCTGGTCAGAGTTGATGGGAAGATGGATGGAGCCAAATACAGGGCAATCTTAGAAGAAAACCTATTAGAGTCTGCAAAAGACTTGAGACTGGGGCGGAGGTTCACCTTCCAGCAGGACAGCGACCCTAAACATACAGCCAGAGCTACAATGGAATGGTTTAGATCAAAGTATATTCATGTGTTAGAATAGCCCAGCCAAAGTCCAGACCTAAATCTGATTGAGAATCTTTGGCACAACATGAAAATTGCTGTTCACAGACACTCTCCATCCAATCTGACAGAGCTTGAGCTATTTTTCAAAGAAGAATGGGCAAAAATGTCACTCTCTAGATGTGCAAAGCTGGTAGAGACATCCCCAAAAAGACTTGCAGCTGTAATTGCAGTAAAAGGTGGTTCTACAAAGTATTGACTCAGGGAGGCTGAATACAGTTGCACACCACACTATTCACATATTTATTTGTAAAAAGTGTTGAAAACAATAATCATTTTCCTTCCACTTCACAGTTATGTGCCACTTTGCGTTGGTCTATCACATAAAATCGGAATAAAATAAATGTATGTTTTTGGTTGTAACATGACAAAATGTGGAAAAGGGGTATGAATACTTTTTCAAGGCATTGTATGTATAGCCAAATCAGAAATGTCGGGTACAATCCCAATTCCAAAAAAGTTGAGACACTATGTAAAATCTCTACATAACAGCAGAATGCAATATTTGCAAATTTCATAAGCCCATATTTTATTCACAATAGAAATTAGAAAATGTATCAAATTTCTAAAATTAAAACATTTACAATTCTAAAAAAAATAAGGTCAAAATGCTAAATTTTCTCAGTTTTCTGTTGTGAATAAAATATGGCATTGAGATTTGCAAATTATTGCATTCAGTTTCTGTGTAGATACACAGCGTCCCGACTTTTTTTGGAATTATTTTTGTATATGCACAGTATAAATCCATATATATATACAGTCATGGCCGAAATTGTTGGCACCCTTGATATTTCTCCAGGAAATCATGTATTTCTCACGAAACGTATTGCATTACACATGTTTTGCTATACACATGTTTATTCCCTTTGTGTGTATTGGGACAAAACAAAAAAAGGGAGGAAAGAAAGCAAATTCGACATAATGTCACACAAACCTCCAAAAATGGGCTGGACAAAAGTATTGGCACCCTTTCACAACTGCGGATAAATAAGAATGTTACAAGCATGTGATGCTCCTGTAAACTCACCTGGGGCAAGTAACAGGTGTGGGCAATATAGAAATCACACCTGAAAGCAGATAAAAAGGAGAGACGTTCACTTAACCTTTGCATTGTGTGTCTGTCTGTGCCACACTAAGCATGGACAACAGAAAGAGGAGACGAGAACTGTCTGAGGACCTGAGAACCAAAATTGTGGCAAAATATCAACAATCTCAAGGTTACAAGTCCATCTCCAGAGAACTAGATTTGCCTTTGTCCACAGT